AGGAGATTCATCAGAGAATGCAAGCTGTTTATGGTGATTGTGTTGATGTGAGTACCGTGCCTTGTTGGGCGAGTAAGTTTAAAGATGTTGAGGTGGGAACATCTGACTTGCATGACAAACAAAGAAAAGGACGTCCTGTGACAGCAACCACCGAGTTTCACAAGCGAAAGGTTGACAGATTGATTTAAGACAATCGTCGTATCAATCAGAGAGAAATGTCAAGCATAATCGGCATTTCACAAGAATGCATGGGTCACATTATTGCTTTGCTTGGCTATTGGAAGATGTGTGCATGATGAGTACCCAGGATGTTGATGCTTGAAATGAAAGCGCACAGACTTGAAATTTACAAGGAACCCCTCTCCCCTTACGAGAATGAAGGCGACACCTTTCTCCATCCAATTGTGACAGGAGACGAAACGTGGGTACACCATTATGACCCGGAGACGAAGCTTATCCAATTGTTAACACAAAGTGTGCCGTTACACCCAGATGCTTTTATAAAAACAAAACTATGATGTGCTGTTCCTTATGTCTGGGCAAACTGCCGGTGCTTTTCTTGAGAAGATTGAGATTCTCAGTAACTGAGTCTATTACAAGTTCTGAACATCAAAAAGGATATTTATTTCTCAAAGTTGCAAACAGAACAGTCAATTGATAAACCAAATAGATATTTCTTCTTTCTCTTCTCCACCAGTTACTGAGTCAGCCTTTCCCCAAGTGGCAAAGGGATCCAGGGATCCTTCACCCTAATCCAGAGCTGTTGCCTTTAGAAAGAACAAATCTTTCCCTATCTATCTAAGCTCCAGATTAGCCTTGGAGATAAGGCAATGCAGTCTCTCTCTCTATAAAACTCTATAAAACTCAATTCTCAAAGCTTAATATCTATTTTTCTTTATATTCTATAACTCTCTTATAATCTATCTAACTATAGCTCAATTAAGCTTATCTAACTATAATATCTCAATTCTCAATTCTCTATTGTTTTTGCGGTGGTTTGTCGGAGCTACCTTTTCTGGCCACCAGCACATCAGATTCCTTCTTCAGAACTGAACAGGCAGGGAGGTCTAAAAAATGGAAGTTTTTCCCCGGGAGCAGGGGCGGGCTCAAAGAGTAGCTCCCTAGGCCAATCATTGCAAAGAGTTTGCAGGCTGGCTTTTCCCGCCTTTGGCTGTTAAACTTCAGGTTTGCAAGGCTGCAGCAGCTCCTAAGAGAAAGGCAAGGGGCAGCCACTTCAAGCAACCAAAAAAGCAATGCAAACCAGTCTCCTGGGAGACGGAACACAAAGACTTGCCTAGTGTTGCCAAAATAGAGTGTCGACTTCTTCTGTGACAGCTTCAGAAAACTTGTTCATCGTTGGCAGAAATGTATCCAATTGTCTGGCGATTATGTGGGAAAATGAATAGTTAAAGAGCACATTCTAAGGATTATTTCTGCGTTTGATTTATTAAAATATTCCCATCCGAACTCAAATAACGAAGGTGGAGGCATTACTTTTCATTCAACCCTCATATCTTTGTAAAATATACTCTGCATAACATAACTCAGCCATCTGAAGATCCTATGACATATAGGCTTTCTTGTAATTTTTTTCAATAACTGTTAAGGTGAAGGGAGAAGTGTACATACACTTTGTGTGGCAATTAAGCATCTGTTTATTGGAAAACTAAACTCAATGTCTACATGCTTGTTATACAAGATTTTATGGAACACTACCAAACTTACCCGATTCACAGGTAGCTTCACAGTATGTGATCTATTACTTGAAATAACCCTGGAATAAATAATGTTTTACTTAGGCAATCCCTCGTTGTCCGAGTAAGATTGTCCCCCAAAGTTGGTGTCCTGGCGGTGGGTCCGTAGGTGACTGTGGAGCCCCATTCTTGACCTGCATATTCTTCCACAGTGAGGGCATCAGTTTCCAGGTGGACGGTGGTCCCAGTTAGGGTTGGCTTGACACGCTTTCCTCTTGGCACGTTTCTCTCTTTTGCCCTCCATTCGTGCCTCCTCAAATTCTACAGCACTGTTGGTCACAGCTGACCTCCACTTGGAGCACTCAAGGGCCAGGGCTTCCCAGTTCTTGGTGTCTATACCACAGATTTTAAGGTTGGCTTTGATCCCATCTTTAAATCTCTTTTCCTGCCCACAGGGGCGGCTCGTCCATTACGCGAAGTAAGCAGTTGCAGAACACTTTTTTTGCCAGGGGCACAGAGATGCCTCTGTAAATGGCCCTCGACTGCCACTTGAGGAGCGCCCCCTCAGCTCACAACAGCCCTAGCAGTCCAGGGGGAGCCTCGGCTTTCTTGCCTCTCTGCCGGGCGATCCTCTTCCCAAAGGGGCCGGGCCCTTGAGCCTCGCCTAGCCCCTCTCGTTCCTGCTCCACCCGGCCACCGGGTGCGCGAGCAGAGCCGGTGCTCAATTGTCCTCCGCGTTCGATCCCTTCCCCACGACTGGCTCCCTTTCCCGATCCCCCGGCGCTCCACCCGCCTACTCTCCCCAATCCGCGGGTGGGCCAAGGGGTGGAGCCGCCGCACCTGGCCCGCTTTGGGTCCGGAGGCGTGTCTGAAGACCCCAGCGTGCGCACCAAAAGTCGCCTCTTCTCCTGACTTTCTCTTCAGCCATTGGGACCGAGAGAGAGAGAGAGAGAGAGAGAGCCCCTCCGGCTGGAGGTATCTCCCACCTCCGCTCCCTCCTTTGTTTTTGCGCCTACCTTCAGGAAAGGTGGGCATCTCCACCTCTCTCTCTCTCTCTCTCTCTCTCTTGGTCCCAATGGCTGAGGAGAAAGTCAGGAGAAGAGGTGACTTTTGGTGCACACGCCGGGGCTTCAGGCACGCCTCCGGACCCAAAGCGGGCCAGGCAAGGGAGCAAATGCGGCAAGTGTAGTTACTAGGATGTATAGTTCACCTACAATCAAAGAGCATTCTGAACTCCATCAATGATGGAGTTGAACCAAATATGGCACACAGAACTCCCACGACAAACAGAAAGTATATATCAATGATTGGTGGGGGGAAGGGGTCGCCAAAATACTGTTTGCTTACCGTTGAAAATTACCTAGGGCCGCCTCTGCCTGCCCACCAGCATTTTGTTTTCCGTTCTTGAGTTCGGAGTAGAGCAACTGCTTTGGGAGACGGTGGTCGGGCATTTGGACAACGTGGCTGGTCCAGTAGAGTTGATGGCGGAGGACCATCGCTTCAATGCTGGTGGTCTTTGCTTCTTCCAGCACGCTGACATTTGTCTGTCTGTCTTCCCAAGAGATTTGAACGATTTTTTCAGAGGCAGCGAAATAATGCATATAAACATGTGAAATAAGACAGACTACCAGAGTGCAATTGTTTTGAGCCTTATATAAGTGCAGATGGACACAGAAGCAAGCAACCATATACGGCTCCGGCTCAGCTTACTTATCTGAACGTATCTCTCTCTATGTTCCACCTCGTAATTTAAGATCTACTGAAGAGGCCATGCTCTCGGTCCCACCGGCGTCTCAAATGCGCCTGGTGGGGACAAGGGACAGGGCCTTCTCGGTGGTGACCCCCCGCTTGTGGAATTCGCTCCCCAACAAGATTAGATCGGCGTCCTCCCTCCTTACTTTTAGAAAAAAACTAAAGACGTGGTTTTGGAGCCAGTCCTTTGGCTAGTGGGCACAGCAGCACTTTAGGCACTGAACTCGGACAATAGGATTGTTATGAAAATTGAAAACAGCTATATGACTTGTGATTGTGTGATTTGTTCTATGTGATTATGTAATTTTAATTAATCTCACTGTTTAATTGTTATGTAATAGGATTTTATATTGTTGGTTTATATTGTTGTTATTGATATTGTTGGCATTAAATTGTTGCCTGTGTTAGCCGCCCTGAGTCCCTCCTCGGAGGTGAGAAGGGCAGGGTAGA